AGTAGAAAAATTTGATTGTATTTGAATCTTTAACACTTTGTTAAAAACAAGCTTTTCTTCGCTTCCTTCGAGCATTTTGTACCACTGGTTATTTTTTTACTACCTTTTGAAGAGTATTATCTTTTGCAGACCGCAGTCTGTAAATTTTTTTTTGTATTTATCACCTCTTAGCTTTAACAATTTGTTTTTTTCCTCCAATTTTTGAATTTTTTTTTTTAACACATCTCTATATTTTTTAGGAATTTTTAGGCCACTGCTTTTTCTGGAACTACTTTCTTTACCAAGAAGTACATTAATTCATAGTTGATTGTCGATAGGAATATTTATGGTTGGACTTTCAGGTGGTGTAGACAAATTTTTAATAAGTTTTTTTAATAAGCTCTTATTTCTTATTGATCTTCTCTTGATCCTTTCCTTCTTTTCTTACTGATCTTTTATCCCTTTCTAAAAGTTCAAGAATTTTCTTTTGCGTTCTTTTTTTTTTCTCTCTCTATTCTTTTGCTTTTGTTTTTCATGCTTGTCTGGGTTTTCAGCTTTCATCCTCTCCCTTGCCTTCCTCATACTTAATTCTTTTAATTTTTTAGATTGAAAAAATTAAGTATGAAATTTTTTAGATTTTAAACTGTAAGTAAAGAAAAAAATATAACTATCTGATAATTAATTGGCTAAATGTTAATAAAAATAAATATTATTCCCATCTTTTTAAACTGTAAGTAAAGAAAAAAATATAACTATCTGATAATTAATTGGCTAAATGTTAAATAGGCGTTAAAAAATCTACATACAAATAAAATTGTCATTTGTTATCAGGTCCGTTCCACTGGTGTCACGCCTGTTACTTCATGTACTCCACAGATGTGACATCCACAGACATGATAGATTGAAGAAAAAAAAACCTAAAAGTAATCTATACTTTGAGGCTAGGACTCTGTTCCCCTTGGTGTAAACATGCCCAGGTAATAGCTAGTAAAAAAAAGTATTGCTTGTAGAAAAGTAAAATTACTTACCCTGACTATGTTTAACATAATGTGCACACACTAACACTAACAAATTTAACTTTCAAAACTTCAACGCATTTAAACACTAAATAACTCCACCAAACCATCCTTTATTTTTACTCATTAATAAAAATGGCTCACAGCTCAGTTAGGACAGCAACAGAGAGCACTACTGTTGCCTCCTACAGCATTATATTGAAATTAACAACTCTATCCACAGAGGTGACACTTGAGCTGGTAACATGAGCTTCAATCACATAAAAGTTACTTTAAAAATATGTTTTGATGAAAATGTTAAACTCTAATTTTAATGTCTTTTTGATTATTTATTATGAATTAAAATAAAAGTATAGTGCTATCATCAAGGATTATACTATTTGAGATTAGAAAAGGGTCTGGATGGTGACATTCCATAAACATGATCAGGATGTAAACTAACCCTGTGGCCCCTCATCAAATGCGGTGTTCCCAAATGCTCATAAAATTAAAATTTTCAATTTAAAGGTGAAAAAATGTCATCCTCCAAATAAAGTTTTCCAAATTAAAGTTTAATTATAATTCTAAAAATTATTGAAAATTAAATGTTATTAAAAACTAATTAAAAAAAATATAAAAAATTCTAATTCATTAATTGCGTAAAACTTGAAATAAAATCGCCATTATTGGTATAACTACGCGATTGCATAACTGCTTAAAAAGTCTCTTCGACAAAATTTCTTGAGAATTGGGATTTTCTAAGCAATTTTAGGGATTTTCTTGGCAACTTTCTAGTAAAATTAATTTCTCATATTTTGCAAATAATATCTAAAACAATAACAATTTTGTTTGGTTTAACACCCGCAAAAGCTATTTCTTTAAAAGTTTCGACATTTTTTGCTAAAAAGTTAAATAACTTATTAAGTCTTACTGCAAACTCAAATTCAAGTAGTACATGTGTTTCGTCAACAAAAATATTGGAAAGCCTTTTATGTCAGATACTTTTGATTACTTTTATTATGTAAAGAGATCGTCCATAAATTGCACAACGCAGAATGTTTTTAAAAAACGGAAGTCAGGCTCTTTTACTCATCAGTCTTTTAGTTATTGTTTGTCATTTTTTTTGCTTGGTATTTTATATCAACTGAATTATGTGATCACATCAACTAAAATCTTTTTTCATTTAACTACTTATTAAATCAATAACTTTTTAAAAAAAACCTCTAAAAATAACTACAAAAAATGTTTAATGATTAAAACAAATTTCTTTACTTTACTGCTTGGTTGTATTTAACACATAAATTAAATACGTTTAATAAATGATTGAAACAAATTTCTTTACTTTACTGCTTGGTTGTATTTAACACATAAATTAAATACGTTTAATAAATGATTGAAACAAATTTCTTTACTTTACTGCTTGGTTGTATTTAACACATAAATTAAATACGTTTAATAAATGATTGAAACAAATTTCTTTACTTTACTGCTTGGTTGTATTTAACACATAAATTAAATACGTTTAATAAATGATTGAAACAAATTTCTTTACTTTACTGCTTGGTTGTATTTAACACATAAATTAAATACGTTTAATAAATGATTGAAACAAATTTCTTTACTTTACTGCTTGGTTGTATTTAACACATAAATTAAATACTTTTAATAAATGATTGAAACAAATTTCTTTACTTTACTGCTTGGTTGTATTTAACACATAAATTAAATACGCTTAATAAATGATTGAAACAAATTTCTTTACTTTACTGCTTGGTTGTATTTAACACATAAATTAAATACGTTTAATAAATGATTGAAACAAATTTCTTTACTTTACTGCTTGGTTGTATTTAACACATAAATTAAATATGTTTAATAAATGATTGAAACAAATTTCTTTACTTTACTGCTTGGTTGTATTTAACACATAAATTAAATACGTTTAATAAATGATTGGAACAAATTTCTTTACTTTACTGCTTGGTTGTATTTAACACATAAATTAAATACATTTAATAAATGATTGAAACAAATTTCTTTACTTTACTGCTTGGTTGTATTTAACACATAAATTAAATACGTTTAATAAATGATTGAAACAAATTTCTTTACTTTACTGCTTGGTTGTATTTAACACATAAATTAAATACATTTAATAAATGATTGAAACAAATTTCTTTACTTTACTGCTTGGTTGTATTTAACACATAAATTAATTACGTTTAATAAATGATTGAAACAAATTTCTTTACTTTACTGCTTGGTTGTATTTAACACATAAATTAAATACATTTAATAAATGATTGAAACAAATTTCTTTACTTTACTGCTTGGTTGTATTTAACACATAAATTAATTACGTTTAATAAATGATTGAAACAAATTTCTTTACTTTACTGCTTGGTTGTATTTAACACATAAATTAAATACGTTTAATTACAAGAATGTTTTTTTTTTGTATTACAATCAACTAGTACAAGAAATTTATATAGCAGAAAATAAGATTCAACACTTGCTTGAACAGGGTCAGGGTCGGGCTCTTACCATGTTTGGCTCTCTCCCTATTTAATGGGCTCCTAAAGTAGGTACCAAAAGAAAAAAGAAAAAAAAAAAAAAGGCCTATATATGTGATATAAAGGGAAATTTTTATATAAAAGCTACCTTGCATCTATGTCTCCGCCTTGCATCTATGACTCCTAAATGCCAGTCCGACCCTGTACTTGAATTTAAAATATATCATTTTGAATAAACATAGTCATAACATTTCATAGCTATGAATAAAAAAGTAAATTATGATATTCCTATTTCCTACGCAATTGCTTGCGATCAATATTCTTCTATAATTAAACAACATTTGTTGTTGTTTTTGCTGAAACTGTTATTATAACTTTATTTTGCTATGCGAGTTATGTATAAAAAAAATTATTGTTAATTATAAAATTGAACTTGCAATAAATGTAAAATAAAAAATTTACAAGCTAGTTTTAACTATTTTGAAAATCTTTTTTCAAATCATTTTTTTTCATACATCTTCATACTTATATAATTGACTTACTGCCCCTTTATCTCAGAAACGTCATTTGCAGACCCCCTCTTCCTCTCTGAGCATTCGTACTTTACGGACGATCCTTAAGAAATAGAAGATCATTGCCTCTTTTCCGTGGAGGTTTTCAATGAATATAAATTGCTAGATTACTATATTACAATGAAAAAAATATGTATACTCAAAAGAATACTCTTTGAAATAAAAGCCATAACGATGTATTAGGATTAAAAATAAATTAAATATATTATTATTAATATTAATTTATTAATATGCGCTGGTTGTTTTATGATAGAGGGGTATGAAATTCCTAATGTGTGTTTGGAAATCCGAGCTTAATTTGCCGTGCGGTTATGAAACCACGTTTAATTTTGTGTTGATTTCATATTCATCTTCAATGTTGCAGACAATCAATGTCAATCAATGTATGCAGCGCTGAAGTGGAGTAGAAAAAGAAAGAATATATATTAAAAAAAAAAAAACACGCATTCCCGGAACACATTTTAATCTCATCAGAAGGAGGGGGGGGGGAGTTAGGAAACAATTTGACAAATTCCCAATTTCGTTAAAACGCTGTTTCAAATTTATTTCTGGTTAACACCCTGATGATTTGCCACAGTCTGTAGAAAATTATTTATTAACTGAAAATACTATTTTAGATTGGTGTCGATCAGTTTAACATTGTGTAAATTATAAATTTATTATTTGTACTGGTTAAAAGAAAAAATAGTATTAACTTGAAAGAAAAAATTAGTGGTGACAGTAAATTGCTTTCAGGAGAATGACCCATATATGGCCAATTAATATTCAAATAATATATCAACTCATATTTAGTTAATAATTATACATATATATTTATTCTTATATTTATTGTATGCAAAAGATATCAAATCAAATTTTGAAAAAAAAAAACAAATTTTAAAGGCGGCAATACTTCAGAATGTCATATATTACTTGATTAGAAAATGCAGAAACAAAAATACCTGTGGAGTGTCTTCTAAAGGCAACATATTGTTCATCACAATACTTGTCTTAATTTCAACTGCTTTATCTAAAACAAAATTATTTAAGCTTTATGTTCCAATTAATTTAAAATATTTTCCTTCATACTTACTAACACTGATCTAAACACTGACACTGTTATCAATACTGAGCAAAACTTATAATGAGTATAGTTAATGACATCTGGGACTTCTGTCACAGGTGTACATCTGGCGGTATTATGGCTGTAATTGATATAATTTGTTTCAATTAAATATAAGATGCTTACTTATTAAAAAGTGCAACTAATATACATGTCCATGTTTTAATAATGTCTAACTTTGCCTAATTATAAGGTAAAATCTTATATACAAAACAAGTATATAACATAGACAAAAAATACAATGTTAAATTATGCTAAACAATATATAAAATGAATAAAAAGTAAAAAGTTAACAAAAATTGTAAGTAAGTTTTAAGAAACTACAGAAAAAAATTTAAACAATAAAAATAAATATACATAACAATCATAAGCAGCACTTGACTTTTATGTTTTCAACTGATTATCAGTTGTAACCATTGTATTATTGCAACATCTCGTTTGCAAGAACAACTGTCTGTAAAAGTCATATATCATTACAAGTAATCAATGCAAATTGACATAGCCTGATGCAAAGGTCTAATATTTTCAGATTATCATCAAACCATTAACCAATGGTATTTTATCTCAAAACCAATGGTATTTTATCTCAAAACCAATGGTATTTTATCTCAAAAGATAAGTTCTAGAGATTTTTTTTAAAAATCTTTAGCAGTGCCATTAAAAATAGACTTAATAATATTACCTCTTCTAAGAATAAAGCTTAACTGTTTGCAATTAACTTTTTTATAAATTATTTTCTTGATGATAACAATCACACTTTACCTGTCATCCCAGAAAAAGAGGTTAAACTATTATTGGACATGGTATTTACCTGATTCACAACCTGTTTTTCCTGATTTAATTTAAAGTTAGCTAAACTCAACTTCAATAAAATTAGACTTGAAATTCGTTTAGAAAAATGCTCTTCAATAGCAAAAATATAAACAATAATACAACCCACATTTAATTTTCCTAAAACTAAGAATTTCATAAAACTGCCAAACGAAAGCTTATATTACATGTATGATATACTTAGCTAAGTTATACAAGTTTGATGAAGAGCTCCTTAATTATTTCAAAATTTAATCTAATTTCCCTTATTACTCATAGACTTTTCTGCAGATGTTCTTGACTTTTTCCATGATCTCCCTGATCTGGCAGACGCCCTGTTTTGAAAGTTATTTCTCACTTAAGCTCTTCTGCAGCTTGTGCTCTGGATAACATTCTTGTCATGGTCTTACAAAAGTACTCTTCAGATAGACTCTCTAGTACTTTCTTATTAACATTTAATTCTTATTTATTATATCTTTTTTATCAATACTCTCCAAATGCTTAATAAATAGTTTAGAAATTTTTCATGCAGTTTATCTATTTACTGTTTTCTTGTGTTCAAAAAACTTTCATCTAGCTTTTTCCTTGAAACATCAATGATTTAAAATTCTGTCCTATTTTCATGTTTTCCTAACTCCTATATTTTACAGTTATTTAAGCCTTCTGTTTTGGTATTCCTAGTCTTTGGTATTAAAAAGGAACAACTTGGGGAACTCTTATTCCTATTTTAGGATATTTTCTGTCCTGCAAATTTTCTTAGAAGGCTATGCTTCATTTATCCGGTTATAATCATAAACACAAACAAAAATATACAGAAAAACCAATAATAAAAAATTAACATGAAAACAACACTGAAAAAAATATTGAGTGCAATAATGATGATGTCATCAGACTACATAAACAAGCCTTATGTTTTAATAAAAATTATGATACTTGTGCACGTGTAGAGGTGCTCCATCTTGTCCATCTTGTTTATAGTAAATGTTTGATGAAATATATTTAAATTGATTTTACTGTCTATACAGTCAGGTCTGGCAAACTAAACCATAGTTATTAGACTTAACTGGTTTGAAAACTCCGTAAAATATATTGTTTAACTTATTGACATGAAAAAAAAATCAAGTGCACAGAAAGATTTTAACGTTATATTTTGCTTCAAATATTTGAATTTTTTGTGCTTATTGAATAAAGTCATATGATTAAAGTAATAGTAATTTGTATAGCTAATCTGTATTCATTGTATGAAGATTTACTTCGCTCAAAGATAATATGACATATAATTTATGGCAAAAACGAAAACAAACACTAATATCATCTATTGCAGATTGAATAAAGAATATTATGATAAATAAAATTAAAAGTTTATTTAGTTTTGTCATTAAGATCTGAATGATCAAACTGAATATTGTGTTACAAACTTGTTGATAGTATGAAAATGCACTTCAAATCAATTTATATTTAAACAGGTACTTCATTTCTGTCCACACAATGAAATATACAAATTTACCTTTATGGTATTTTTAAAATGTAAAAATTTTCATTTATTTATCAACTACATTCTTATAAATACTATGCACAACTTGGAAATTATTTGTAAATCTTTATTTATATTTTCCTTTAAACCATACAATTTACTTTCTATATTATATATACAGAGATTTTGTTGCATAACGAAAAAGCGAAATGTAAGTAAATGTAACTTTACTCAATAAACATATTTACATCGTTAAAAATTAAATTACATCAGTTGCATATTTTAAAGTACCGCATTGTAAATAAATTTAAAACTACAATAAAAATCATTTTAGGTCTTTCTAAAATATTTATAAAACATCTTTAAATTAAACATTATTGTTATAAAAAAATTATCAATAAAATATAAATGTTGTTTGGAAATAAAAATCTTTTCCTATTTTAAATAATCTTTTTACTTATTACTTACTATATAATAATCTATTTTTTTTTAATATTTATAATAATTTTTTTACATATTACTTATACTATTTCTTGAAACAATTGTTTCATGTTTCTTGCTTTCCTGTGCATTGATATATAAAATATTTGAAAAACAATTTTAAAAATTATCAGCAAAAATATTTGAAAAACAAATGTTAAAAATTGAAAAAAGTTGCAAAAAAATTGTATATCAAAAAATATTTTTTTTTTTGTTATATTCTACTTTTTTCCTCAACTTGTATACTATTTCTTAAAACAATCGTTTTATGTTTCTTGCTTTCCTGTGCATTGACATACAAAATATTTGAAAAACAATTTTAAAAATTATCAGCAAAAATATTTGAAAAACATGTTAAAAATTGAAAAAAGTTGCAAAAAAAATGTATATCAACTTTTTTTTCGCTATATTCTACTTTTTTCCTCAACTTGTATCAATTTTTTATTAGTGGAAAATAACCAAAAACAGTAAAATATTTAGGTATAATATTTTTTTGACAACAATATTCTTTTTTTAAAATTCAATTTTTATATTTAGCTTATTTTATTTAGATTTCATTTTTCATATAGTCTTCAGTTCTTTTCTTCCAGTATTGTTTTATTCTCTTTAGTTTCTTAAAGCTTTATTTTGCTTCATATCTAAAACACTTGCTATATAAAAACAAGATCAAGTTGTCTAAAAAAAATAATTTAGACAAAATAATTAGCCAAATTTCTGTACAAGTTACAAGTGGACAAACAAGGCATGCGACCACACGGGCTTTCCAGGAAAGCTTGATATAGGTTACATATAAAATTATTTACACATATATAAACATACAAATATATATATATATATATATATATATATATATATATATATATATATATATATATATATATATATATATATATATACATACATATATATATATACATACATATATATATATATATATATATATATATATATATATATACAAATATACATATACATGTATACATATATATATATATATATATATATATATATATATATATATATATATATATATATATATATATATATATATATATATATATATATATATATATATATATATATATATATATATATATATGTATATATATATATATATATACATATATATATATATATACATATATATATATATATATACAAATATACAAATATATATATACAAATATACATATACATATATATATATATATATATATATATATATATATATATATATATATATATATATATATATATATATATATATATATATATATATATATATATATATATATATATATATATATATATATATATATATATAAATTTTGAACTAAAATTTGACCCTGAAAAAAGAATACAAAAAAACAGAATAGAATTAGAAATGTAATTTGGTTCAACCCCCCATATAGCAAAAATGTTTCCACTAACATAGGAAAAGTGTTTTTAAAATTGGTTGATAAGCATTTCCCTCCCTATAATAAATTACATTAAATTTTTAATCGAAATACAATTAAAGTTAGCTACAGTAGCACAAAAAATATGGAAAGAATTATAAAAAGTCACAATAATGCTTTGTTAAATAAAAAAGAAATCCTAAATGAAAAAACTACAGAAAATTGTAATTGTTAACAAAAAAACAATTGTCCAATGAGTGGAAGTTGTTTATCAAAAAATGTGGTACATAAATGTGTTGTTTCCTCTAAGAATGTACCCGATAAACAATAAAACAATATTAAGTAAAATAATACCCAATAAACAATAAAAAAATAAAAACGCTTGACGATGGAAGTACCATTTCATCAAAATAATTGTGCAAGAACTGTGGATTGATGGAATTGAGTGGGATGATGCAATTCCGGATAGGATTGCAAATAATGTTGATCAATGATTTCAAGAACTAAACCATCTCCCAAAAATAAACATTCCCAGATGTTTAAAAACAACCTAAACAGTAACAAATAGGTCAGTCCATGTTTTTACGGATGCGTCTTGTAAAGTTAATGGTGCTGTTGCTTACCAACAATGTTTATATGACACAGGAGAAGTGACATGTGTGATCATAATGTCAAAAGCCCGAGTAAGTCCATTGCAATCTATTAGTATACCAAGACTTGAGTTACTTGGAGCTGTCATCGGTTTA